TCTGAACTTTCACTCCACATCCAGTGCTAATGAAATTGTATATATAACAAATGTTGATAATCTATTTTTTCTCAATCATGATATTGTTTTTCTGTACTGTTCAATTGTCTAAGGAAAGATGAAATATGCCTTTAATGTACAAGAAACTTAATCAGACCCAGTGTTTGAATTCATATATATATGTATATGTATATATATATAGTATTTATATTAGATATCATTCTGCATATTATATGATTTATATGATCTATGTAATCTTTGTTTTTGCAATTGTACTAAAACTTGCAAAAGCCTGAAATAGTAAACAAATATTCAATAAAAGAACTGAGATGTTAATAATTGATATTAGTAAATTGTTTTATGATAAACTGATGCGCCACACTTACTCTGACTCACTGTTTAACAAGCTTTTGATGTAGATACAGGCTATTTTTATTAGACTAAGTTTATGCCAGCTTACTAAAGGACAAACATGAATTATAGAAATCCCTGTTTATAGCCTGTTGCTCTGGCTCCAGAATCCTTCCACTATATCATTGTGTCTCCCAAAGAGAAAGTAAAGTGGTTCATATGTAGCTTATTGTGAAATAAGTCAATTTATTGATTGATAAAACCTATAGTATGGTTTAGAACCCATTTGTTCTTCCACATGATGTACAAATCTATTTTCTTGATGTCACTACATTTGGACTGTGATAAATAGACACAAAAGACTACTAACATCTTCTTTTTTATTCACAAGCTGTTTTGTTTCACAGTGACAGTTCTTGGAACAACTTTTACGGCAAGGTAATTTCCTTGGTAACAAGGTGGTCTTCAAGTATATCACTCCCTAGAACAGTCTGTCCCATTAATGTATCTTGGCCTCACCCCATGTTTGAGCTTGCTGTCTCTGGTAATACACCACCATAGGCAATACTGCACCTTTACAAGCTTTTCTTTGACCCATTCAAAAGTGCATTAATTTTGATAGATTCTGGGTTCAAGCTCTATCTATTGTGTGGTTTCTAATTGATGCATTGTTTCTCTTTTTCTTGGTATTTTGTACAGTTAATTATATGTAACAGCATAACGATGAATAAAACGTTCACAAAGCAGAAATATCAAAGTGTTCTCCCACATAAACGGTTGACCTCCTGATGGGTTAGAAATAGATGACTCATGAAGGTACAGGGCTCTTTAGATTTATCTTACCTTCCATGGTTGTAGATAATGGATCTGCATTTCTGTAATCATGCAGGGACACACAGGATGTGAAAAGGCAGGAGAACAGCAAGAGGACTCAAGCACTGGAGCTTGCTCTGTGAGAGGAAAGGTCAGATCGCTAATAGGGCATTTACTGGACAGTTCTGCTTTCAGAATTGTTACTTCTATACAAATGCACTCATATTGATTTAGGCACTTTCCCCCACCATTGTGTCAGGGAGAAAGGCTACAAGAATACCCAATCGACTATTCTGTAAAACGTAGCACATGGTCTCCTAATGAGTTGAACTTCTGCTCTTATAATTGGGTCACTCTCCCTCACGTGGGCTCTCTAGTAAGCCCAAGAATCAACCTGAGAACAAGCTATCAGCCCTTCTCTTCTACTTAGTCACTGCTGGGCTGCATTTCAAGCCAGTTGCATAACTGGTTGGTGAAGAAGCTGTGATGTAGATAGAAGTGGTGTTAAGACAGAAAAGTATCAGACATCATTTATCACGGCATAGTGTCCAATGTTTCATTCCAGGGTTATACCTCCTCCATCATAAATCCTTCATACTTTGCCAGCTAACATTACCGGAGCACAAGCAATAGTTAAGATCACATAAGAAATGGACACAAGTGTTCAAGATGTTTGTTTTTAGGGAAAACTAATGCTGAAAACAACTTTTGACTGTAATTATACAATAATGTCTGTATCTGAAATGTTCAACACAATTCCCTCACCCTCCCTCCCTCCCAGCAAGATTGATTTCTGAAGCAAGTGTGTTAAACTTTATTTGTCTTTTGAGGTGTCCTTTATCATCTTAATTTAGTTATATGTTTCAAATTTATAGGTAACATTTATATTTCTAGTTTTTGATAATTTGTCTTGTGATATTAGCTTTATTTACTAATCTGCTATTAGATAAAAATATCATCTTAAATAGATTCATCTACAATTTCCCTTTAGTATACTTATTACACTGATTTTAGTTTAGCAGTTTATCAGGTTAGAATATTCATGCAAGATCAAACAGTAAATACTATCATTCTGCTCTTTTTTTACAATGTTTCTCATCAAGCCAAATTCATTAGCCCATTTTTCCCACTTTATTGAGGTTTTTATTTTTGTTATTATTTCTTGAAATGAGATATTGCTATGTATTAAGGCTTGCCTTGAACTTACTAATAGGCCAGGCTAGCCTCCAACTCTGAATCTTCCTCCCTCAGCCTTATTAGCTCTGGTATTAAAGCATGTCATCACCCTCAGCTGTATTTAGTTTTTATTTATTTTTTTTAAAATTCTTTTGTGGAATTTGAGGTGACACTATTCCTTGGGAAACCTGAACAAATGTCTTCTCACTCCAGATAGGGAACCAATGACTGATTAAAGTAACAGTAACAACAAAGCCCAACCTGATAAACCAGTGTGTGACAGTGTTACATACAGGAGTATGAGTCAGAGATTCCTCAGAGGAGTAGAGACAAATCAAAGACAAGTGATCACCAAAAGTTTAACCCAGGGTAAATAGAAATCCCAAAACTCAGTGTTTGAGTGAGGTTCCGAAGCTATGAATGAAATAAAAACTGAATAATGATGATGATGATGATGATGATGATGATGATGATGATGATAAAGCAAAGCGTTGGAAGTCTCAGGAAGATCTAAAGGTTTGTGAATCCTTTTCACTTCCCTTAAGTTTTATGCAAACTCGAGAAAGGTGAAATCTTAGGTATGCGGTACATTGTGGGGATTTACTGAGACTCTTGAGCTGTATACTTCCTGAATCGTAAGGAGACTCCATTTAGAATTTGAGAGTCTTACGGTTTTCCCTCCAGGATAGAGCATCATTTAGGAGGAAAATGCTACATAGTAAGGTCGGTTTCTACATGTTAACGGCTAATGTCTTCCTTGATCTTTCTCTTCTTTTATGTTGAGACATGGTCCATCACTAAACCTAAAGTTTCAGATTTGAGTAACCTGTCTTTCTTTTGTGGAGAAACTAAAGATCAACTTTGTGTTCAATATACCTGAACTAAGAGTTACAATGGGGTCTCTACCATAAATATGTGAAAACTGGGAAAGCAGCATTCTAAGTCAACAGACAGTTTGTTTCACAAGATTATTCCAAGTGTCATCTAAAATGTGTTCATTTGCAAGCTGTGTTTAAAAGTAGCATTACCTATATGAATAGAGCCTTTTAAATTGACTGATATAAATCACAGGATTTTACTTTATGTTCAGTTCCTTATAATTTCTCATTAGATTTTGCTAGTGTGCTATTGTAATTTTAAATGGTTGTTATCGACCCTCATATAGTTCCCCCCTCTACTTCATTATTCCTTTTTTCCTAAATTCATTCTTTTCATCTTCATTCCTCTTAATATTTTGTGTGTAGTCACCATTATCTTTCTTTTGTGTTTGTTATCTTTCCTGTTTACTACTGCAGTGACCTATACTTTTAGAAAAATCTGAACTATGTAAGTTTGTCATCTAAATAAGAAGACCTTTTGTCTGACATAAACCCACTGTTCCTTTTTAAACATTATATCTTATTTCTAGCCTTTCAAAGCATTGCATTATTCTGTAAGCTATAAAGGTAAAGCAATGGTAAATAAATCAGTACAATGGAAATGACATCTAAAATAAAGAGATAAGATATTATGTTTGCCTTGGAAATACTCTTAGGGAAAATATATAATTGAATTTACACATCTCTCAACAAATTGACACTTTCTACATTGCATAATTTGCTTCTTTATGTAATGTATAAGTTATTATGTGACTACTATGGGGAAGCACGATTAATAAAACTCAGAGAGAGAAAGTGGGGTTCTATCTGCAGATCTGAAAAGCAAACCAGTCAATCACTGGCTCTTACCTCAATATCAATGGTAATCCTGCCTCCAGGAATCTAAGAATTAGACTGAGACCTGTGTCCTCCTGTTTTATAGTCCTTTCTAGGGCTAGAATTAAAGCTTTATTTATTAAAATACAAGTAAAATGCCACTAAAACTATGATTGTGAAAATAAATTTCTTTTATAATAATATTAGTTTCTTATTCTAAACAACTATGGATATAATTTAGGAAATAAAGTTATTTCAGCAATATAAGCAGGGAAAATTTCCAAGTTGACATCACAACACATTGGATTTGGGGTTCCCATTTGAACCTTCATTGTAAACACAAACTCTACTTTATCAGAAATGAGATAAAATCCAGTACTTTGCTGTCAATGAAGGCCACAATGCCATTCTTCAGAGAGTGGATTCAAACGTTGGTGTGGGCATACAACCTTGTTATAGTCCTCTTGGCTTCAGTCTGATTTCCAGGAAAACGGGGATTTGTCACTCGAGATATTTGTAAGTGTACATGCAAAGCATTTAATATAGCACTGATCTCATAGTGAGCATTCAATGAACAGTTGCTAATATTATTAGAAAGCTATTCAATTACTTTTGACTAAAACAAATAAACTTTATCAATCACAAACAAAATTAATTATGCAGATCAATCAAACAAAAGAAAACACCTAGGGAGGATAAGCTGTACTCAACACAGTCTCTAGATCAAATAAAATGTTTAATAATATGTGGTTGTACTTGGGACTTTTCTCACTCTAAATGTTAAAACAGGGGGTTCGGAATGTGGATTATTCCAGTCAGTAACAATAGTTTTCATCTCAAATATTCAGAGAAGCCATTTAATTAAAAAAATATTCTTGCCTTGCCTCTTAAGTGCCCTGCTGTGTTTATCAACCATGCAGAAAAAAAATACCTCCTTTTTTATGGTTGAATTCTTTCTTTCCACAGACGTTTCCACTGGGCCTGGGAGATGGGCAGATCTATCCGTGGACAGATGGTCTGAGAAGGAAAGACTGGCATGACTACGAAAGCATTCAGAAAGAGGCTTTGCGCTCAGGTATGAACTTCCGAGTAAGACCAAGTGCTGCTTTCACTGCAGCATTTCGTTTTTCACTGCAAAGCTCTCATGTCAGTTTTCTTGCTGCATGCAGTAAAGATGTCTGTCTTGTGGGAACACTGGGGATCAACAATGGACAGAAACAAAATGACTCGGAATTTCACAGACAAGGCAAATAACGAATGGCCTCTCCTTGGCTGCAGAAGAGGTCGTTGAAAATGGCACCTCTATATTATCTTGTGTTTCCAAGCCTTTTAAAAGTAACTCTATGGGTGATGTTGGGATTTATCAACGACATATGACCTGGATATATGAGCCAGATTCACACATTGGGATGAATTATGTCTAAATGGCAATGTAAGGCAACTCGGTCATGCCACAAGTTTTCAGCATTGTCATTGACTGTAGCAAGTCCACAAACTACAGCACCTGGAAATCTGTAGGGATGATACTTGGACTAATGGTTCAATAGACCAAGCTACGTTAGAATTTGTGTAGCATTCTAGCCAGGTGATATAGCTAACAGAAAGAAATGACAAGAAATTCCGTTAAATAAATTGAGTTTTGCAATGAAAACTTCAGAAGAATACATTAGTAACAATCCACGGAAGGGGACAGCGCACACCAGGCTGTCCCCATTCTATCACTCAGCCAAAGTAACTTTGCTCTTTCACAGTGAAGATGTCACAGAAATAGGGTGACTACTGTTTGGAAAGATGTGCAAACCACAGTGAAGTACTTCCCCTGGGTCAAGCCGGAAGCATAGCTATGACTACCCAGTAAAAGGTCGTTCTGGTCAACCTTCTACAAACTCAACACCTCAGTATAATTGCAACTAGGGAGTTACATCATCCTGACATTGTGCAGGACTGTTCTGCATCAGGCAGGGCTGATATAATTATAGGTCTTTTCCCTATTTTCTCATAATCTTTTCTTTATTATCAAGCATAAACCACCTCTCTATTTCATTAAGGCAACTCGTCCCAAAGATAGCTCATCTTTTAAGAGAACTGATTTTTCTTAGATCTCCTCTCCCCACCTGGACAATAAGCCAATGAAAAAAATCACAAAACTGCTTTCCTCACCACCTGCCTCACCTGTTAATCCTCTCATCTCCTATTTCCATCAGCCTTTGTCCACCTGTATTAATATGGCCATCTGTCCTTGATGCTTCAGATGCACAAGGGTTTTTGAAAATATTTGCTTAACCTTGTCAACTGAATCTGTAACAAAATAATAATAATAAAATTATCAAAAATACTGAACAAAGCTTTAATACTAAATAAATCATTGGATTTCAGAATAATTTTTGTAGATATTCACCAGAGTTTATATAACATTGTCTTTAATATTCAATTAACATAATGAACATTAATTAGCTAACACCATATAGAGCTTGATAACATCCAGTTCTTCGCAATCTAACTGCCCCAATTCCTGACATCAAAAGCAATGCAATATTTGTATACAGAAAAATGACAGATCTATGGGAAAAAGACACAGCTAGTTTAAAGTTCTAACTTTTCCGTTTATGAGCTACATGCCAAAGCAATTTATATTTCTGATAGTCTACCTTGTAGAAATTTCATAATGATTAAATAATTGATCAAAATAATATATAAAATAAATAGTTATCTGGGTATCAGCTAATAATAACTATTTTAAATTTTATATTATTTTTATTTTGTGTGTGCTTGTGTATGTGAGTGCAGTGCCAATGGACGTCAGATGAGAACATCAGAACGCCTGAAGCAAAAGCATCTGTGAGATGCCCACATTGTCAGTGATCACTAATTCAGGTTTTCTGGAAGAGCAGCATGCACTCTTAAGTGCTGGGTCAACATTCCAGACTCCAAAAGTATAATATTAAACCACATTAATTACTTTCACATGAATGGTTATACCTTCATTTTTTGGCTATCCTGGGTTTTTTGTTTTTCCAAATAAAGTTGATTATTGTCCTCTCCAGATCTGTGAAGAATTTTGATGGGATCTTGATGGGGATTGCATTGGATCTATAAATTGCCTTAGGTATATACCTTCATTTTTTGTGAACAAATTTTGGATAAAAAAAAATCACTTTCCCTTTATTTCTGTTTCATACCACAAATTTTGTGGTTTATCTCTATATGGATCAATGAATGTTCAAACAACCTGAAAATGCAGTACTTTTTTAGTACAAATTAGTTGTGAGTAATTTTTTGTTTGATTGTTTGGTTGGTTGGGTTTTGTTTGTTTGTTTGTTTTGTTTTGTTTTCTTTTGTTTTTTTTTTTTTGAGACATGCTTTCTCTGTAGCTTTGGAGCTCTGGAACTAGCTCTTGTAGACCAGGTTGGGCTTGAACTCACAGAGGTACACACTTGTCTCTGCCTCCCAGGTGCTGGGATTAAAGGCCTTTGCCACCACCACCCAGTGAGTAACTTTTTAAAAAAAGAGTGACGAATGTAAGGCTGTTTAATGGCTCTCTGGAAGATACATCAATATATCCTAAATGAAAACATTTTAAATCATTCAGACAGACATGACTAGCTTCTCAAAATTCAATTAACATCTGTAAGTACCATATCCATGCCACGTGAGCAACTGTGTCTCCTCTAACACTGAAATTTAGTGTTGACTTTGTTACTTCTCTCCATAGTTATCACCACTGTGGATTTACCCTAAAACTGTTTTTGCTTGTATTTAATTTGCAGTCTAATTTTAATGCCATTTACAACTATTTTCTATATTAATCTGTCTTGATGTACAAACCCATTCAGTACTGCTGATTTCTATAACATTCTACTTGAGGTCACAAGGATGTTTTGAATGTTTTAGTTATCATGTATAATCCTTCTATAAACACTTTTGTATACTCTTGTGCCAGAGACAATAGTTTCTGAAGAATATATCAAATAGCATATTTGTATGTTTAAGGTTTAAGTAATTCATATCATTGGCCATAGTAAATCTTTCTCCAAAATTCTTATGGCAGTTTCCCTTCAGTCAATATGGACTGAATTCCCACTGTGCAAGTCCCAGTAAGCACTTCCTCCTCTAGTAGTTTAAACTGTAATGAATTTATACATAACAATGTTATTTTAATGTTTTCTTTATTTCTTAGTCTTATTACTTTAGTTATTTCTGTCTTTTCACAAAACATGCTTGAAGCACCAACATAATTTTGATCAGCTGGTAGCAATGGCCCCTTTGACCTTGTACAATGTCTTCAATAGCAAATTAAAGATATGCATTCAAAGAAAATTTGAGAGAAATATACCATGATTTAAATCATTAGTGTTATGCTCACCTAAGTTCATTAAACAACATGTCACTTCAACGCTGAAGAGGGACCCATTTCTGTCCTGACAGTCATTATTCTACATAATTGAACAAGATTGCCAACCAAAAAGAATGGGAACACCAAATGCATTCATTTGGGAAAGAGTGGAACTACATTGCTTACGAAGGCAAATACAATAAAAAAGAAACAGAGGAAGGTATATTAAAGAAAAATTATAATTCTGGTAAAATTAGCAAGACTCCTGATCATTTTTATTGATGCATCATGCAGCTTAAGACATCATCTTTGGCATTTGTTTTTAATGTTTGTTGTTAATAGTTTCCTGAGATTTACACCTGGGTGGTGTATTCTCAAGAAGGGTCATAATGATGTTTGTTGGCAGATAGTCAATTTTAAGTAACTACCAAAATTATATTTATTACTAATAATTGAGTTAAAATTCAATATTAATGAAATATTGCCTTTAATAAGCATTGTATAATTAGGAGAGGGTAAAATGAGCTGGAAAGATTCTATTGAGGTGTTTCATCTATATGTCTAAAAATAGAATTATACCTCGTTGAAACTAAATTGAGTAAAATTCATCTAAGTAAAATTTACTTCAGTCTTACAATCTGAAAATAGAAATGTAGAAACATTTCAAGATTTATTAATCTGAAATCCATTTGTATTAAAATATAGATATTGCTATCTTTTATAAATAGTTCAATTGGGGGTGCAGATTGTCTAGCAATCACAAAGTCCTAGGTTTGGTTCTCATAACAGAAAAATCAACTCAATTTAGCTACTTGTAAAACTTTCAGTATCTTTGTTTAGAAATATCTACTTTCTGCAGGTAAAATGGTATGGGATAGTCTTGTTTTACTCATTAGTAAAATATGGTTTGATGATCACACCGATCATAGCTATTTTAAATGTTAATTAAACTGTCCAATTAAAATGCATGAGCTGATCTCTAAGTGGTTTTTACATATTCATAATAGCCTTTAGTTCTGGTACTATAAAACTATAACTTGAATTGACTGTCATAATTTTTCTTATGCATTCATAAATAATCAATATAGATAAACTCTGGCAAACATTTTCAGTGTAGGTGGTGTATTAATTTGTGCTTCAGATAGACCTCCCACTCTAGCATTGATATTATAGAATATTTTATGAAATTCTGCCTCATTTCAGGATTCCTCTAGTGTTGTATTTATGATTTATCAAACATCTCTTTCAATATAGTACAGTTTTGATTATTGCAAATTGTTTATGTCTGTAAGAGCACATATTTTGCAAAGGTCATATACTTAGATCATAATCCTTGACTATGAAAGAAGAAAACTTTTCTTTTTGCTGTGGATGGAGAGATAGATTCTAATAAGAAACGCCCAAAGACAAACTGATGAGCAGCTAGTAAAGCAAAGGATTGGAATCAACACAGACCAAGAAACCAAAGTTTAATTGGATATTTTGCCTGAAATTCATTTTGCAAAATTTTTCTGCTCTAATTATTTTTCCTAGCTTGAAACATTGCCTGAATTGCTAAGTGATAATGAAATTTACAACTCTATTTCCTACCAACAGCAACAATGAAAATTCATATATCCATTGTATCTAAAATGTTTGTGTCAGCACCAGTGACAAGAACAATTTGATACTTCATAAAGTTTGGTGCCATTGTTTAGCTTTATCTTTTAACGACAAAAGAGATGCCATCTTTACACACAGTT